CTTTTAAAATTAAAACTTCAATTTTTTAACAGAAAAACAAATTGTAGGTCACATCACACTCTAAAAATTATACACATATCCGGTCACAACTAAAGACTTTACTTATGAAGAGTATTCAATCCACCACCATTGTTCTCGTCCTCGATATCAACACATAAATATGATACAAACAAAACAATAATAGTAATATATTTACAGTAGAAGACTCTTCTTAAAACTTAACTTTTTGCGAGGAAATCCCACATTTGTTTGGCCAAATTTTAAGTAAAAATAATTTAGATGAGGTACTTAAGTCGTTTAAAACAAAAACACGACGGGTTAAGATTTTAATAAAAAAAAACTGAACATTTTACTGACTGAATATGTTTACTAACTGAATGTACAAAACCACAGTAAACACTCCAGATGCCATTCAACATCCCACAACACGGTAATTCCATCAAAGGATGGCTTCTTCACTCATGACTTCATTCTCAATAAAAAATGATAATTAATAAATGTAATTTAATTGTTTTAATTATTATTTTATATTGTAAACATTTGTCACTTGTACTTATTACAAAAAAAAAAAACTTTACAGTCTATGTAAATATTTAATTAGCCGGTTTCGCCAACATAATATGTTAAGGATACAACTTATTGTTGATTATATTCAAGAAAATCGGATTTCACCGAATTTGTTAGCCTTAACACGATGTTAAAATGTTTGTTGAGTTAAACGCCATGTTGAAATGCCTTAGATCCATTAATACATTAACTACAGCTGAGATTTGATTATAAAATTGATTGCAAAAATCCAAAAACCATACATTTGACGGGGAACTTTTTTAAATAGAGTTTTAGCAAATAATAGAAATGACAGAAATAATAGAACTTCCATAACCTTTGAGGAATCAAGCAGAAGCTATTATTATACAATATAGATTAGTGTAACAAAGAGTTGAGGTCTTGCATTTTAGGTTTATTATTATAGTAATTTAATGCGATTTAGATAAAAATTTTATCAAGTCTTGCGCGAGTCCCGTGTAAGACACTGACAATTGAGACGCTTATTAAAAGAACAAGGACCCAAATTTGGGTTTTTTTCAAGAGACACAACAAAATATTTATTTAGGTACATTTTTTTTTTTATGAAAACTTTATAATTTTTCCTAATTTATTACTATTAGGTTGATTTAATTTATGAAAAAATAATTTAGCCTAGAAAATTTTTTAAGTAAAATTTGAAATTGGGCCTTTGTTCCGATAAACCCAAATTTTTTTTTCGGCTCTCAAAATGGAAAAAAAAAATGTTTTAATAACAGACTATTATTAAAATGGTACAGACAATTGGATAAAAAAAACAAACTAATAAGATAATATAGGATCAATAAACGATTCACATAATACAATAAATGTATATTTTGTCTCGTCTAAAATATAGTTTAGTCGTCAAAACATTCATCTTCTTCCGTTCCATCGTTATTTCCGGCATTTTCGTTTCCTTCCGAACCACCAATCTCGTCTTCGTACCCTTCGGGCAAAGGGTTGATCCTGGGGTTGTAGAAAAACGGATGATTGCCGTCACCCCACGGAAACCGCTATATTTTATTAGGTATTATTTTTTCAACGATTAGGAGGAGGTACACGATTCGGTTTTTTTTTGGCAATAAACTAATAATTATTCCGAATCCACTCACTCTGGTCCTGATGCGGAGATAACGGTACGGAATGAATTTCGGTCTTTCCGGTTCTTCGTGGAAACTGAAAACGTACAACGACCATCCGATCGTTATGGGCATAGCACCGTACCACGTCAAGATTTTCCACAACCTTATACTTTCTTCGGAACAAAAATATATATCAAAACCGATTTTTTTAGAGTTAACCGTTTTACAAGTGTGGCGGATCTAGTTTGGTCTGTAACACGATTAGTCCTCGACTCGAGGAAAAACATTGCATCATGAATATATGTCTTAAGGCACACCCAAAACTATATATTAGGGTGGACCAAAAAAAAAAATTTACTTTTGTTTTTTTTTTGTTCTTCTTATGACATTATGTTACTCGGGGTAAAATAATATTTCCTTATTTTTTTTCTTCAGATTTTTAAAATTAATTTTAGAGGTTGCGAGCATCAGTTTTCCAAAAAAATTATTTTTTAAGTTTTTTAATTTTTATAAGGTATAAATAAAAATTGAAAACAAAAGTTGCATGTATACAACAAATTATCATTAGAAAAAAAGGAATAAACCAATATTTTTTTTGTTTACAAAAAAAACTACTATCCGACTAATTTAGGTCTTGGAATGTGAATTTTGCGAAAATATTGATATATATATATACCCTTAATAGTAGAGCCTAAAATATTTTTTTTAGGAATATAAAATATGTTTAACTTATTCCACATTTAGCTGCGAAGAATTCCAATATACTTACATAACACATTATTCTAATAGATCAGAAAAAAAATTAATTAAAAAAATAAACAAAAAACCAGTTTTGAGTACTGTTACTTAACAATTATATTTTTTTTTTAGTTCAAGTTTTAACAAGTAATTAACAAAAAACAATATTATTTTATAAAATACTTGTTTTTCAATTAATTTTTTTTCTGATCTATTGTTAGAATAATGTGTTATGTAAGTATATTGGAATTCTTCGCAGCTAAATGAGGAATAAGTTAAAAATATTTTATACCCCTAAAAAAAATATTTTAGGCTCTACTATTAAGGGTATATGTATACCAATATTTTCGCAAATTTTACATTCCAAGGCCTAAAAAATATTGGTTTATTCCTCTTTTCTAATGATGATTTTGTATACAAGCAACACTTGTTTAAAATTGATATTTATACCTTAAAAAAATTAAAAACTAAAAAAAAATTTTTTTTTGGAAAACTGATACTCGCAAACCTTTAAAAATAATTTTAAAAATCTAAAAAAAATAGGGAAATATTATTTTACCCCAAGGAACATAATGTCAAGAGAAGAACAAAAAAAAAATTGTTTTTGGTCCACCCTACTATATATGCATATACTTTGTCTCACGAGAGAACGGTACTGGGCAAAAACCTAAACGCATTACTTTCGCGTGTCCCCAATCGTTGCAAGTATGTGTTCATCTCTTCCCTAACCTTCTCCTTATCTCATTACACTCTAACTCATTCTTATTCAATCTCTTCTCGATCTCCTCCCCTATCCACTTTACTTATTGCCTAGATTTCCATTTGCCTCCCCTCCCAATCTTCTGTTGACGTCGCAAATTCAGGTTGTCAGGCCTACTCTAAGTCTAACCTTACCCAATTACTGCAAATCTAACCTAAGCGTGATGCCATAAGACATATCCATGTCAACAATGCGAAAGCCAATACAGTGGGGTCGGCGCATAGTGGAGATGTAGCTACTTGAGACAGGGGAGGTCGTAGGAATTGTAATAAGCGAAATTGAGAAAACTTTTTCCAATGTAAATGGTAGAAATATATACTAAATCGATTGAAACATTGCCAAAGTTATCTATATTGTGATTAAGATTGTACTTTGGTAGGTAATTAGCAATATAATGAAAATATTTTCAAATACCCGGGGACTGTTTATTTAATGACTCATAACCACCTAGAAATGTACCTACAACGGTAAAAATGTAGTTTCTCTCTTATGTTTATCATTAATAAAAAAAAACTTGAATACAGAAAACGGTATATGTTTTGGCCCCACTCTAGATCTACCCAACAGTTTCTAATTTTCAAACCTTAAGTCCTCTGTGGGCTCTATCACTGGATGGCCTCCCACCTAGTATTATATCACCGTTTTTTTTTTTTTTAAGAACCTTTCAAGTATCATATTTCTGATCCGGATAGTTGCTACATAAAGAAATCGGTTCAGCGGTTTAGAAGAAATCACAGACAAAAAAAAATTGCTTCGCAGACGGTAAAATTCTGTTTAAAAATCAAACAAAAAATTGAAAAATGCCTTATTTTTTGTCCCCCATAATACATGGCAAACGACAAATTTTAAAGTCAATAAGCTGACGTTTCTAAAACACAATATGATTATTAGAACCTTATCGGTTAAATAAAAACATACAGGGTGATCCATTTAACGTAAGACGTGCAACCTCATAAAAATTATAGCTATTTATTTTGTAGTCTTTATTTTTGAAAAAAATATATATTATATTTAATTTTTAGCTCTTTCGACTTTTGAAACATAAAGTAATATATTTAATTAACTTATTGAATATCAAAATTATTATCATTTAATGTTCATTATCATTTCTAATTTACCATATATTCTTATTATAGTGTCCGGTGCTGGACTTTATTAACATTAATTTGATTTAGATTAGATTAGCATTAAAATAAAGAAGTAAAAAACTACATAAACAGAGTCAAGTTTTTTTTTTAAAAGGTATACAAATTAAATTTACCAAATAAATACATATATATATATATATATATATATATATATATATGCTTCTACTATTTAAGTTTCCACAGTCGATAGAACCTTAAAATATTTACTAAAAAGGCTAAATAATTATAATATTTTTTTTATAACGTGCAATAATAATAACTAAAAAAAGTTTCCCAAAAAGAAAAACTACAAAAATTGAAAATATTTTCCAAAAAAACGAGCGCCCTAACTTTATTGTGTATTGTCATTTGGTGGTAACTCTAATTGCAACTGAAGTTACAATAAAGTCGAGATGTTTAAACTTGTGGTCAACATTAACACGAACAATTGTTGATGTGTTAAAATAATAAGTAATTGTTTAAATTTTGTATTTACTATCGTAGTTTTCAATAGGTTCGACATTTTTGCTATAATTGACACGTGGCTGAAACCGTTTTGTCAATCTGTTTGTTCTTAACATTGACGACAAAATGTTCTTGAACATGTTTAAGATAGATTTAATTAACTGTTTTTATTTGTTCAACAATAAAATAATAATAATCGTGACAAACAAATACACTTGTGTTTGTATCTTAGTTACCTTTTAGCAAAACGAATCATTCATTGGCCAATTAAATATGAAACAGTCTGTTTGTCTGGTTATTTGATTATTCCTTGGAATAAAATATTACAGTGTACTCGCATAACCATCGCATCGTGGTGTATCTAACTGATAATAGGATTAAAAATATATGCATTCTATTTGATTTTTTACAAGTGGGCATTTATAAGTTTTAAAATGGTGTAAATAATTACACGATAAAAGGTAATAAAATAGGCGACTGCGCATAAAAAAATGTCATCAAAGAATCAAAAACTATTAAAAAAATGTCATACAAAGAAAAAAAATGATTTGTAAGGAGGCCTGTTTAAAATTTGTAAACCAAATCATGAGTTCTCGATACAAAAATATATTTATAATAAAATTTAATAATTATTAAAAAAAAAACCGAAATACATGGCCTTCAACTATAAAAAACATGTCATTAGTTTTTGCTTTCAGAGCTGCAAGCAGTTTACAAAACAACAATTAGAATATTACCCAATTTTCTTTTGGTTGTAATAAAAACTACATACATTGTCTGACCGGATTAGAACTTAGATTGTTTGGAATGTATTTTATTGAAATAATAAAACAATTAAAACAAATCATTGAGTATAAAAAAAAAACCACCAAGATGGAAACAGATCACTATGTCTGTTGGAATGGTCAAAGGCCATTTAATTAAAAAAAAAAAAAAGGCTGGACGCCAATAATTTTCAGATGTTAAAAATATAAAACGTCAATAAAAATCAAACAAACTACTACCCTTTTTGAAAATGAAATTTCAAAGTTAAGCGTGATAAATGGGAAATTTTGACTTGTTAAGTCGAGAAGGCCAAGAAAAATGTATAAAAAAATATCATATATATATATATATATAGAGAGAGAGAGATAGACTATAAAAATGGTAAAAAGTTGAAAAAGTTCATTCCTTCACTTTTAAACTTTTTCAGTTCCATACAATATTTTAAATTATCTTAAATCGAATAATACAAGTATCTGTTAAATATGCTATTTGGAGTTTTTAAAAGTATTTTTTTTAATTATGACAATTATGACTGGTTTATTATCAAATACATTTCTTTGGAATAAATTTATTTTAAATTAAACGAAAGTAAGTTTACTTTTTTTTGTACAATTGTAATTTTTTTTCTTTTTTAAATATTTGGTTGAAACAACCAAAACAAATCTAACAACTATCCATACAAGCACTTAATATTTAACGTACAGTTTAAATAGGTATATAAATATATACAAATAATAAAATAAAATATTTTATTTTAAAACTGAATGGTCTTGACTTTGAAAATGTTAATAAAATCAATTTTCGGTAAAAATTATGTACACATTTTTTTTCATAACAGAGTTGTTAATAAGTAAAATATTTTAGCAAAACATAGCTGTGCCGACTATTTTCATTTGGAATAATAGTAAAATGTTGTTTTCCAATAACAAAGCATTAAGACTACAGCAACAGTCATAACGACAAAGACTATTACGATAAATACTTCACAAATAACAAATTCAACGTAAACTGCATTGTCCTTATCAGTAAAGCGGTTATAGATTATTATTACTACGGTAAAGTCACATAAAAATAATAGGCAATAGGTAATGATCTCATTAGAGAAATTAATTACAAAAACACGCCATCAGGAATGCGACGATTAACTCCGACAATTTTCATTAAAAGTGTAAGCGTAACACAAAAAAAGAAAAATAACAACTGTAATATTAATTAGCCAAAAACGCTTATTCTAATTTAGAAACGAGTAGGTTGGAATAAAAAAAAATTGAGAAAATGATTTGGAAACACCCTTAACTAATTACAAACAGTTAAGTATAGATTTTTTTTATTGTTTAGGAACATACCTCCCAGTTTTTTTTTTTGGGGGGGGGGTTTACTGAATAATGTGATTTTTGGATCTTGCTGGTTTTGAATTCTAGCCTACTGAAATATTGAAAATCGCACTTACTTTTGTTGACGCCGAACTGTTGAGCGAAGACTGCAGTTCCTTCAAGTCCGGTTTTATATCAATGGAATTTCTTCCAGAGTATTTCCTATGTTAAACGAAAATTACAAATTATATTTGTTTTATCATTTATTAAATCGGGTATTTTTATTCAAATAGACTCCTAGTGACAATAATTGTGACATTTCTTAATATTTATGTTTCCAAATTTGCAGTACTCGATCGACAAAAGCCGAGAAAGTAGTTACGATAATTTGGATACTACTTTTCCACTCTTGGAACGTCCTAGCAAAAATATGTTTTAGGTAGGAAGCTGAAAAGTGGTTAAAATTAATAAATATAATACGATAAATACTAGTTCAAAACTACAATAACATTTTTATGCTATCGAAGAACTTAATGTTGCCGTTCAAGGTTATAAAATTTACACAAAGCCTATCGATACAAATGTACTAATGTTGTACAGTTATATTATAACTTAAACATTTTTTTATTTACATTTTATAACCAGCTGTCTTTACTGTTTAATTAACAAAAGCCAAATGTAGTTACGATAATTAGAAAAATACAATCAAAAAAATATAAAAAAGACTTACTTTTCTGTTATCTTATATTCATCTTCTATCTTAAATGTTTTGATCAAAGAATTGAGCTTGTCTTTGTCCAAAACGTTGGCATCTATTTGAGCCGTTGCGCAATAAGCCACCCAGGAACCGACAAAATCCGACGGCGTTATTTTGTGTGTGATACATACTATTATGCCTGAAAAAAATTGAAAGACCAAATCAAAATTAATAAAATCTTACATTCAATTATATGTAACACACCTAAAACCTAAGATCAAGCTCAGAAAGTTGATCAAGTCAAAACAAATAATTTTAAATAAAAAATGTATTACCTAAATACCAAATTTTAAATTTAAAAAATTGATAAATTTGTACTTGAAAAGATATATTTTAAATAATTTATGTTTGAAACGGTAAATGAAAATGAATTTCGAATTATTTACAATTTTCAAAAAACTTAATTAACAAACCAAATTAGATTTTTTATTTAAGTAAATTAATTTTAATTTTTGAACATTAATTATTGATGCAGTATTTTATTTTTTTTAAACTAGTTGTTTATATATTTTTAACAATCATACACACACGATAAAGCGAATGATCTACAAGACTCCAACGATACCTTTACTAAACTTCCAGTTCATACTAATAAGGAAGCACAAAATATTATGTTCCATGAAGGAACCCTTTTTGTTTATAAAACATGTACTCCAATTGGATGTGTGAAGTACATACAGAGTTTAGCAATGCCTGAACAAAATACACTATCTTGTGTTTGTAGATACTCAATGAAATATTTAATTGTGACGTTAACATAAGCTATGCAAAATTTCAAAATAATTTGGAACCGTTGTAATATTTTAAAGCTCATGTTAAAAAAGACAAATCAAGTTTTGGAAACCACATACATTTTTATAATTACATTAATTAATGAGATTACAAAGCTTAATTTTTTAATTTAAGTTAAATGATTTATTTATTATAATCAAAACAACGAGAACAAATGCTTAAGGGGAAATCTTATGTCAAAAATATTATTATTTAGAGATATCAATGTTTGATAAATTACTATGTGACGTCTAAGAGCCGATGAGTCTACGGCTACGTTTTACATGTAAAAGTTGCTTGATTTGTATAACAATTAGTAACCTACGATAGTATTTTTTTTCTCATGTGTATCTATATGATTAAGACGATAGTGTGATTTAAAACTAAAATATACCGTCTAGATATTTAACTAAATACTTAAATAAAAATAATTCTAATTAATACAACTAAATCAGTTTTTAAAACAACTGTCAAAAATTGAGAATATAGTATATCAATAGACATACAAATATTATTAGGAATATTTATGGAATAAATGTGAAACCAGACAAAACTAAGCGCACTTATAAGAAATAATTCATTTTAAAAACCAACAAAAAAGTCACTAGAGCCGTAGACTACATTTTTGGTAAAGAAATCAAAAATTCAGAACCAAAGCAGTCTATTTTCCTATTCCAAATTTAAATATGAAATGTATGAAACAGCGTTCGATAAAAATAAAAGTATATAAGGCGTGGCAACAGAGGATGAATATTATATTGTTATGTTTATTAGTCGATCGCGATCCGGAGACGTTAAGGTCTCGACTAATTGGCTTTTCGTCCTGTTAGTGGTTAATTGGCTCGTGTGTGCCTGCATGTTAGGAGCCAGTGGTAAAGGGTGGTAAAATGTACACGGTATGGTATTGGTAAAACGATAACGGATTAGAAAATAGGGTTAACACATAACACCGACGGTTTTCGCCAGACTACTTTGGTCTCGTTAATATTTGTATACCGATCCAGTACGTAGATTGAATAGCCGGTACGGTAAAAAAAACGGATATAATGTTTCTAAATAATACTCACAATCGTCAATGGTCGAATCGGGTATGGACAATCCCATGTCTTCGAATTCGGACACTAGTTCCGAACGATCCATCTTGCCTTGCCGTCGATGGAATATTTTTATGAATTTTTATCGAAATACAATTTAGGTACTTTGGGTAAAAACACAAACGTGCCAGCTATTACAGCATTAGCAAAGTCGAGCGGCGAGCGTTACGTCGTCTGAAAATTATCAAAATGAAAATTACAAAAAATACATCAACCAAACGCTGTTAACAGAACAGAATTCGGTAGACGTTTGCGGTGTGCAATTTTTTTAGTTTCCACAAAAAGTAAGTACACTTTGGTTTTCAAAAAAACCATTCAAACGCACCATTATTATTAATCAGACTTACCTCGTCGGCGATTAAATTCGAACCCACCTACTTTTAATATTCCGACAATTTCAAACGAAACGACTCGAAGACAAAATTTTAAATTTGCAAAATATCATAAAATTCGGTGACCGTTTACACACGTTTAGAAGATTACAAAATCGAAATTCCAAACAAAAGTGTTTTGTTAGGTTAACTTTTGCGGCGGTTTCCCGCCAATTTGCAGCTGTTGTACGGTTCATGGTAAACAGACTGCTTTGTAGCGCTCTCTGTTGGTTGGATTTTTTTTTCAACTACCAAATAATATCATTACTGGACATCTTAGGGCGCCAATTTTGAAATTTTTTGACAAATACAAAACGTATAATATGTATTTATGTTTTTTTTTAATATTGTACTGCGACAAACTGACTATAATATAATATATTATAACAACATGCAATATTAAATAAATCATTTAATTATATTATAATTAATGATTTATTTAATATTGCATTGATAAAGAGGGAAAATGTCAAGTGTATTTCGATTATTTTCCACTTTATGTATGTGTCTACTTGAAAAATAATATTCTAGTAGTACAATATAAAAGTTTTGTGTTATTTTCATTTGAAATCAATTAAAGTAATTATTATTATTATACCTAGGTTTTAAAAACTAGGTTATTTTTACCGATTTAACCTATTGTTAGCGTATAGATATAATTATTTTAATATGATCAGTGGCTACTAATACAGTATTTCCATAGCAATACAGAATAATATGTAGTCGGTGTCAATTAACGATAAATTAAAGATTTTAAATAATTTTAAATTACCTATATATTTTGTATTAATGTAGTTATTCATTATTGGAAACTGTCACTATGAATTATTATCATGCTAAACTTCAAACTAATTAGTTTAGTTTCTACTAAATATTTAACTTACATTTTTTAAATTTAATATGAGTCACATTACGCAGAACCCTGCAAAATAAAAAAATGCACAGGATGGCAACACACAATTAAGAGGACGCCACACCGGCCATTTTTAAGGAGTAAAGTATAGGCAATTTTTCGAAAAATCTTAATTTAGAGTTTCAACTATAATGTATACTTATTAGTATACAGAAATGAGGATACTTTGTCAATAACCATTTTTTTTTTTGTCAGACTATCTATCAGTCATTTCTATAGGATAAAATACAATTTTTTCGCCATCAAAACTGCAAATATTAAAAAAAGGGGCGACGGTAGAACACAGTCACAATGTTGTTGTGTATATTATGTAAAAATTTGGTTTCTTAGTTTTTAAATTGTCGCCTTTGTAAAATTAATCCGCGCAAGGCGGGTTTTTCCGAAGAAAATAACGGTGTGTGACGTCCTCTTGAATGATTCAGTCAAAGGTTAGTTTAATAGTCTTATTAGAGATCTAATACACGTGTAAACTCACATCTTCTTCCGGTTCTCTTTTAATTTTGCATCAACTCGAGCAATTTTCTTCCTGATAAAACTCGATTATTTCATTGGAAGTTTTTTTTATTTGTTGTGACTTTTTAAATGGCAGAATTTTCGAAAACGGCGCGGCGACTGTTTGGAAAAGCATTTGTCGACCAATTCAAGTGTGTAGGTGTATGTTTTTTGACATTTTCATGTCTTTGCTTTGGCACATAAACAGAAAAATCGACAGCGGTTATCATAACGAAAAATAACAGCTGATATATCTGATAAGATAAGAGAGATAAGAGAGATTAGAGATATGTTTTTACCTTGGAACGCAACGGAAAAATCGACACCGACAATTTATCCTTATACATCCTTCTTATGAGGGTGGTGATGGGGATGAGGATGAGTGGTGGGGTGGTAATGGGAGTGGAATGGAGATAGGGATGGGGTTGGTAATGGGGATGTTACATTTTTCAAATGATATGTTGTTTTCAAGTGAATGTTTTGCCAATGAATCGATTAAGGCCAATTATTAAATAAACTACCAAACAACTTTTGGCCACAACATAAAATTACCATTCACCTACCGTGGTTACGGTTGTCACAAACCAAGTGTTTATTTTGGGTTGGCAACGAAAAATATTTATAACGGTGCCGAGGCTTCGGGGAATCGAGGCGGGAAAAAAGATGCGGACGATGTTTAAATTTTTTATTACCGTTATTGAAATAGTAATTTTAATAATTTAGTATAAATTGGTAAATATTCGTGCCTGAGTCGGCATTATCCGCACATAACGGTGTATTGTCATCGTCTAATTTTGGAAGATGACGACGACCTAAGGCTTCGAGTCCGACGGAATGATGTTGGGCGGGCTTTCTGGATCGACTTGGTCGCGAACAACAACCGGTGGTATGTCATCGTCCGAGTTTGGAACATGATCTCCGGTGGGGTTTCTAAAAAAAAACAATTCAACTAAAACTTGAATGGGGTATTATATTTACACTATTTTCACGCCTCGCGGTCACTCCCATTTGGATATCTCGACTGGTTCGCCAACGAAACACTTGCATGTTCCAACGTTCAAGGCTCTGGTTCGATGTTGCTCGCACCGCGTTCTCCCGAAGACTGAGCGCTTCTCTTCCGCGGCCGTAGGTTATATACCAAGCCACCCGCCCAAGTCTCCGCCCTCCTCTTGCCGCTGCTTGGTTTGCCGTTGGCGAACCAGTGTCGCCATGTCCAAATGGGGGAGTAACCGCAAGGCGTATCAAGGTGTATCGAAAATTTTGTGTCTTTGGGTGGAGGGTTTCTTGTAGTAATTTCGTATACGATTACTTGGATTTTTTCATAGGCGGCTGATCCAAATGATCGTCCCTCAGAGGTCTTTTGACGCTGGCACGTCCCATGTCCCGACGACAATACTTGACTGGACCTTCAGACGCGGAATTGCCGTTTGACCAAGAACCGGGTTCCGACGTTTCCGGCATGGCGGACAAACGGCAACAACAACAACAACAAAAAGAACAATGGCCTTCGACCTCGTCTTCGCCCGCTTCTTCTTCTTCTTGATCTAACTCCACAACGGCAGTACCGCCGGTGGTCGTATGCCGGCCACCGAACGTCGACAAATACAGACCCATTTATTTTCAATCGCCGCCGTTAACTGAATAACACCACACAATATCTCACAAGTTCTACGTCCTATTGTTATTAATGTACATGATCTCGTTTGGCCGTCACTACGGCAATTGCGGAATCGCCGAAGATAGGTGTTGATAATTGTTAGGCCGGCAAATAAAATAGCTGTTCATGTTTTCAACTTGTTTATATTTTTATTTGAACCATACACTATCGAATAATATAATAATGTCAAAAAAAATCAATATGGTGGCGGCGGTATAAACGCGAGTGTGTTCTAGAATCCTGGTACGCAAATTTATTAAATAATCTCCATCTTTACATCGATGACGGTCATTATGTCCATTACACAATGACCCTCAGCTCAAAAACATACCCATGTTAAAAGAGACCCTTTTTAAACACAATAAATGTACAGCAATACGTCATACCATATCTTATAACTATTACACATAATGACTTTCTGTTCTTCCCATTTCCCTAATTCCTTGTGCATTTATACTGAGGCGCGGTTCTGTTTCTCCTATTTCAGCTGGTTTTTTTGATTTTTTATACCTACACTTATCTTTTTCTTATTCTGAAAAATTAGTTCCTTACGCTTCCTCCTTTATAGCCGAGCGCTATTCAATTGACAGTTCCCTTCAACACCTTTTTACCTTTAACTTATACAATTTTCTTATTATTTCCGACTCCCAGCCATGCCTCCAGGCCTTATTCTCTGACCCATTTAATTCCTCACTCTCTCTTCTTATTCTCCTCGTTAAATCTCTAATATATAGGCCTCTTCCTTAATAAGAAAACAGTCCAATTCCTGTGGGTGCCCGAGCATTCGGTTATCTTCGGTAATGAAGTGGCAGATAAGTTAGCTTGCTCAACCAGTCTCTACACATTCCCCTCTTCCTTCCGAATTCCTCCCACTGATCTCTCCCGAATTTTTTTAAGTCACTACTTAATTCCTGGCCATCTAAATGGCACTCTCTTCCTCATAATCATGCTGCTCGGTATAGAGCGATTTCTCCTACCATTTCCCGTCGTCCTTAGTTCTGGAACTCACTCTTACCTAAATCCCTTATTGTATCTTTTACCAGACTTCGTGTTGGCCATAACCTCCTTCCCGCTCATGCCTTCCATCTCTCCTTAAACTCATCTCCTTTTTGTACCCTCCGTCTCTTAATGAAGCTCCTTGTAATTTTAACCACATTCTCATTGAATGTCCTACTCTGTGGCCCAACAGAAAAAATTTACTTTCCCATCTCAGTTTGTGCAGCTATATCTCCCTAGATCCTTCTCTACTATTAAATTCACGTTGTCCTTCCGTTATCGTCCTTCTAATATCCTAATTTTCTAAAGCTGGATTTTCTATTTAATTGTATAATTTTCTTCGCATGTTATTAGTTGTTTAAGTTGTTTTTATTGTTTATCGTATATTGATTAGTAATTGCACAAAAAATAATAGATTCACAACGAATTTGAAAAAGTGTACCGACTCTCTGAAACCGATGAACGGATTTTGTTATACATAGTGTGTTGTTATAGAATCACATTGGCATGTAAAGGTAGTTTTACATTTGAAAGCTCTTCTACATATGTTAATCATTTTTAAATAATAAAATAATTGAGGAATATTTTCGGTTGATAATATGGTTTTCAGACATGTGTTGTCACCAAAAAAGTTCCTTTCTAGTTTCTTCTGACCAACGATGACATTCAAGAATGATTGTAAATATAAAATCTTCATCTTCTGAAGATGTACCAAAGCTAGAAAGTTCAGAGGACAAAAAAATTTCCCACCCCCCCCATAAATTTTCATAATTTTTTAAATAATTGCCTAATATTAAAATATATTTTTATTTTAAAATAACTCATTTAAAATAAAAAAGCAAAGTCTTTATGTCGACCCCGACTTGACAAGCGTTTAATTATTTTAATAACTAAGTTATTTTAATTTTAAAATAATATTAGATTAAATATTATTCTTATAAAACATTAAAGTTTATAATATTTAACACTTTTTGTAAAAAATGATAAATAATATTGAAAAATAATAAAATATATTTTTGATTTACTTACAAATTATTTTCAATAATAATTGTCTAAGTTTAAAGCGAAAAAAAGTTCATAACTATCACAAAAAACTATTTGATTAAAATAAATTCTCGTGTAAAAAAAATAACACATATTCGTAAAATTCTGTATTTTATAACAAAACAAAATATATTCTTTAAAACAAAAACTATAAATAATGGTTGTTTAAAAGTTTCTTTTAATCAAAATTTACCATTTCTTAATGACACAACTTCTAAGTGTACTGTAGACTTATTTGCGGTCGATTACACACCATCAAAAACAGCTATAGACAATTAGTTCAAATTATTACATAATTCAGAAAAAGTAATTAATTATAATGTGGAACTTAAATCCTTTATCTCCAGTTATAAAATGTGTAATAAATTACTTTATTTGGTTTGTCCAAAAAGAATTACCGGATTTAAATTCCATACAAGCAAAATCATACATTACTTATATATTTTTTGACACGGCCAAATTTTTTTCAGCCCATTCACTCCAACCACCCGTGTAATTGTACACTCTGAAATTAAAAACATAATATTTCTGTTAAAATGTAAAACATAACATTTCAAACATAGATAGTAATTTTGTGAGTTGGCAACTCAAACAATCCAATTCTCTTTCTAAACAAATTGATTGATCTACTATATACTGTTTTTACTGTACATAATATATAGTAAAAAATAACTGAATTGCATTTTAATAAAGAGCTATACTATTTAAAAATCTATGCAGACTGATTTTTTATATACAACTCCACATAGTTCTAAATGGATTTCTCCGAGTATCCTTAATTAAAAAATATGACGTTAAGATATATGTTGATATGATATGTTGAGCATAAATTATTTAATTCTATATCAGAGAACCTACTTTTTATATCCGACTTTTTGAGCTAGACCAGCTGCTTTTTGGCTTCTAACTCCTGAATGACACGAAAACACAATTTCACTTTTCTCAGCGTCTGGTTTTGGAATTTTATACAGCTCTGCAAATTCCGAAGCCGGAAGTGATAATGCATTACCTACGTCACTCACTAAAAACATAAAGTACCGGTTATTTACATTAGTCATTAAACATTGACCGATCATTATCATAATAATTGTTTTCTAGCTAATTAGAAATTATATTGACAGATGCCGAGTTAGAGTATATTTTGCCAAGGGAACAGCAGTTGTAGATAGAATGGGAAAATGGAAAAAATACAAATGAGCAAAATAGACATAAGGAATAAAATAAAAAGTAGCAATTTTATAAACCAACCATTTGAGTTAATAAAGCCAAACACAGACCAATATATTTATTTATTAATCATTGTACTTACACGGTATGTTTATGCTGTTTGGCAACACACCGGTTTCGGCTAATTCTTTTTTTTCACGAACATCTATTATTAACGTACTCAAATCAATCAGCACTAACAATTTGTCATAATCTATATTTTCCATAATTATTGTTGGTGTGGTCTTTGCAAATGGATTATGACGTGTAACCGCAACAGTCTACTAGAATCTGCGTTCTAGAAAATTACTAAGTGTATTGTAAGACAACATTTTAAAGTACTCTACAGTCAATTTACCATATTATTATCTAATCTATACTACAAACGACATAATTGTATAATTGGTTTGTGAGATATAATAGCCAACTTATTTTGTATAGTAATTTTCTAGGTTCTTGCATGCGATTCACACGACTATGTTGTTCATTTTTAAAAATGTTCATTTGAGTTATAAAAAATAAATAATATGAATATAATATATTATGTTATGGTGTGTAGTTAAATTATTGCAAACCCCAATTACAAATTTAAAAGCAATAATATTACTTTTATAAATTATTTAATGACGATTTTAATTTATTTAACTATTTCGACATTTAGGTGATTTAAATTTAATTGCAAATATGTGACATCATCCAAAAGTGAGAAAATGTTTAGTAAGAAAACGCCGTCATTTTAAGCATAAAACATTTTTTTTTTTCATTTTTAAACTAGGATTGAAAAATACAATTTAATCATAAAATCCGTTTACTTTCTGGCTTATACCATTATTGTGGTTTTTCATTTTTTCCCCCCAAATAATTCTCACTTACATTTCTTTCAATACCTACTACTATTGTAATTGTCTTGAAAATTTACATTGTAAATTTTCATGAGTATACTTTTGTTTATTATAATTATGTTTTCCTAATAACATATTGTTTGATTATCTTGAGAAATGTTCAAAGAACAGAATATTGTTGACAATTTGACAATACTATAATATCTAATCTCTGAAGGCTGACAAATAATTCTATCAATTGTTTTGCCAAAGCGTCGAGTGCCTGTAAACTATACAAGTACATACATACTCACTCGTTCATTACACAGGGTGTTTCACAAACTATGAACCAGACCAGTGAGTATTTCATATTAGGCTTTATGAAATTACTTTTTTTTTTTATACTTTTGTAGTAAATATATTCGCCCAATATATAACCCCATCTTTAATTATGTGTTGAAATATTATGAACTTGAGTTTTTCAAATGGTAACAAGGGTTTTTTTTATTAACTTTTGAAATTAAGAATAATTAGCTGAACATTTTTTTGACTTATCGATGACTAGTTTTGAATACCTTTATTTCACTATTAAACTTAAAAAAGAATTATCCAAAACTGGTTATCGACAAGTCAAAAGTTTCAGCCAATTATTTTTAATTTAAAAAGTGAACCTCGCGCGTTACCATTCAAAAATCTCAAGTTGATAGGGTTTCGTTAAAAATAGAGACGGGTCGGAGTTGGAAAACATATCAAATTTTGGCCAACTTATTACTAAGAAAGAGTTTGAAAGAGGATCGTTGAAAACAGTCGATTGTCTTTTGGGATATTCACTGGTTCATAGCTGTCGGTGAATCACCCTGTAGTATTTGTTTCGCTGTATCTACTAACAATTTTCTCTGGTGTCGTCTCGATTATCTAACAGTAGTTTACTACTATCTACTATTAAGTGTACAATACCACCTTTACCCAACACCGTTGGACGAATGCGCGCAGTGGCAACAGAACCGACCATGGCGGCGGCGGTCGATACGGTTTTCGAATATGTCATGATCAACTATCGATGGGTGTTTGTGTGTTTGTTTTTGTTGCCCTGCACCGTGCTGGGTAAACTATGGTCAGTGTGGGAAATGCGAACAGGAGCGGTGTACACCGACGGAGACCGACACCGAGAAAACGTTAAGAAAATTCAGCGCCGGGTAAACATTGTTGCTTGATCGAAATTTTACTCAAACGGACAACATTCTCCAGGAATTCCATGTTTGCTTAGGGTGGCAGGATAAATGGTCCTCCCTTCTTCTCCCAATTCTTCCTTGTGGCATCGCTCGATCTGTCCTGTCGTCCCTAGGCACCCCCACGGTGTCGCGGTCTTTTTCCTGACTCGAAAATAAATATCTTCCTTCTTTTGCTCGTCCAAGATTTGTGGTCGTAATCTCCTTCGCGTTTTCTCTTTTCCCCCGTCTCTCTCTCGACTCCTCCTTTCCGTTCTGCACCTTTACTGTGTGCTGGTTTACACCGGGCTGCTGGTTTGGACTGTACACTGGTGATTATTTGTATGATATTTGTTTCAGATCCGTCTGAGAAACGAAAAGGACCCGAACCGGATGATGTGTACGGCGAAACCTAGTTGGAAGAGCGTGTCGTTGGCTGACATCTTATACAAAAAACACATGCACAACGTTGACGTTCACTTGGACGCCATAATTGCAATAGATACCGAATCCCAAGTAAGTGTAAATCAGTGGCTTGAACGGCGAACTTAGCAACCTCCCTCTCCCCTAGAAAATGGGGTTTAACTCCCAAAATACCCGTGCGGTATAATGGTTTGATTTTGAAAAAAAGACTGTGTGTTATTACACCTTGTAAACGCTCGATTTTTTCATAAACTATAAAAGGTAGAAAGTCGATTCTAAACTCATTAGAAAGAGCTTGTCAAATAAGATACAAAATATCCGTATAAAATACTAATATTTCAATTTTTAGATTAACTTTACAGTAGCCTCGCTGAATTCCGAAACGACGAACACATTTTGTTATTTAGGATCTTATTAGAGAATCACTTTGGCATGTATAAGTGCAGTGAAGATTTTCAAAACTTTATCTGATATAAAGTTTATTCATCACAGCTTTGAAGTTGTATAGACATCATAAAAACACATTTCCCACCCTGAATTTTCATAATTTTTAATTTAATTTCTTAATAATAAAATATATTATATATTTTAAGTAATTTTCCAAAAATTAAAAATAAGTAAGTGGACCCAGATAGACTATTGGTTTGAATGAAAGAACATTTTTGATAGAAATTTAAATTACATTTTTCCCCACCCTAATTTTGCTGTATTTCTTAAGAAAAATGAAAAACCCCCAAAAAAAGTTGGCTTTTAAGTGCTAGAAAACAAATTACAATCCACGAGGACTTTAAATTAATTTCAATCCAAATAATAAATTAATTTACCTAAAAATAAAAGATATTTTATAAAACAGACTTAAACATTTTTTTTTTTGCTTAAATTAAGAGGAATTAAAGAGAAAAGAAGGAAAGGGATGGGATAGTAATATGATGGAGGGGAGGAAGGGAATGTGGTGGATTAGTGTTAATTGTATAATGACCAAAGGCGTCCTAAGACATATGGTTGATCCAATGTCTTCCATTCAAGGGGGAAACATGGTATATCATATTATTTAATAACATGTGTCTTACTATCCAATTTGAATATCATGCAGACAGTTCGAGTGGAACCTGGCATTACCTTCGGTCGGTTGGTTCCAGCGCTGATCCAGTCCGGATGGACACTTCCCATCGTGGTCGACTTAAAAGAATTAACCGTCGGTAAATATCATCATAAAATGTAATCTTTTCATCTGCGTTCTCGTCGTGTATCCCATACAAATCGACAACTCTCATCATCGTTGTCCAATCATCATGACGTAATCTCTTGGATTTCCAAAGCTGTTATTATTTTCCTCTTTACTCGACCGCTGCCCTTTCCCAGTCGGTACTCACTACTACTTGATGTACTTGATACAAACCTACACAGCTACTTACCCATGCTTGTGTGTGTGTTGCAGGCGGCCTCGTCATGGGAACCGGATTGGAATCTTCGTCGCACAAATACGGACTGTTTTACGAGCTATGCACGCGCTACGAACTGATTACTTGCGATGGAAACGTGATGACTTGCTCGAAGGTCCGACCGGTCGTCGAGACTAGTATAAACCGGATTGAGGACCGGCAAATTCTATCCTACCGGGAGTGGTAAGCACTTCCCCGGGATTCTGTGTGGGACGCCCTCGGGGATGTGCTACCCTCTCCGGCCTGGAATTTACCATGCTCTTTTAACCGCGCGGTCCTAAATCCGGGAGAACTTCCCCCCCCCACTGGACGTTCGAACGTTTACCGAGGGTTTTGTCTTTGCAGACGGAGAACGCGCAGGCGTTCGAGTGTTTGCCGTGTTCGTACGGGACGTTGGGTTTCCTGACGGCGGTCGACCTGAAGATAATGCCGGCGAAAAAGTACGTGGCACTCGAGTACACCCCGGTGGTCGGGCCGGCTGAACGAATGGAATCCGCTCTGAGGCTCGAGGTCAACGGTAACAACGATTTTGTCGAGCTGATCGTGTTCAGCCAAAGTCACGGAGTACTGGTGACCGGACGGTTGACCGACGGCGAAGACAACACGGTAGGTAACACACATCGGTTGGGCGTTTTATAACACAGAACATTTTCGGCTGGTAAAAGATTGGCGACGAGGGATCAATCTTACCGCTGTTCCTCATCAGATGATCTTCGGGGGAATGGAGAGGATAGGCGCACATCTATCAGATCTAAAAACCAAAGAACACCAGCTGATCATGAGAAATATTCAAGATCTAATAGGTGTCTTTTCTTCGACATATGCATCCGATTGTGGATCACTGCAAACGGACTTCGGTTGCTTACTTTCCTGGGGCGAAACTATTGATCCTAAACTCGACGTAGCCAAGTGTGTAGTAGGCTATGAATTTTGCTCGTTGTTCCCCAACATTCCCCACTGATTTTGATTATAACACTCGTGGGGTTATCTGTCGCACGTGCTGTCAATTTGATTTTAATTTCTTGGCCTGGTCCAATGGTGCAATGGTCCAATCCTGGCGATGGAAGACTTTCGGGCTCGCCGACTGCGCTCTCCACTTTGCCCAAACTTGAACGTCGATCTGTACTTTGGGACCCACACACTTTTGTGGATTCAATAACGATTGAGGAAATATGCTTGCGTTCCATCTGCCTTGTGTCATTCTCATAAATATAATACCTATAATACACCTATTGGACGCGCATGTTGAACTTGCCCCGAGCTTTGCTCTGACAACGAACAAATTACCAACGGGGGTTAGGTGGTTAGGGGTACTGTTGCGACTTGTTATTTTTCATCGTTATTTACCTATAATTGTGTGAACATCCGGAATCACTCAGGCTGTCGAAACACTGTCCAAAATCTGAACAATCAACAGTGTGTTCACATTGAGACGTGCCGAACTTAAATATAGATTGGAATCACGCTTGTTTTGTGCTAGGCGACAACAGTCAACGAAATCGGTCGGTTCTACAAGCCGTGGTTTTTCAAACACGTGCAGACGTTTCTCGAAGCCGGTCGTCACGCCGAAGAACTCGTCCCGCTGGCCGACTATTACTTCAGGCATAACAATTCGCTTTTTTGGGAGATACAGGTACAATACAGGAGGAGTGTTGTTATCGAAATTGTGTGTGTGTGTAAATTAAAACCATTTGTTTCAAGGATATAATACCGTTCGGCAACAACGCGGTGTTCCGGTATTTCTTGGGATGGTTGATGCCGCCGAAAATAGCTTTGCTCAAACTCACCCAGACCGCTATAGTCAAGCGGCTGTACGACAAGTATCATTTCGTCGACGACTTCATACTGCCGCTGTCCGGTTTGGCCGAATCCCTCGGACAATTCCATCGGACTCTGAACGTAAAAACCGAAGGGATTTTTCTTCACCTTATTATTATAAGTACCTAATAACAGCATTGAATTCCCCATGTAGATATATCCAATTTGGGTGTGTCCGGTCGTGTTGCGTTCCGGTCGGGGACTGATGCATTCGCCCTCGCCCAAGACGAAATGTACGTGGACGTAGGCCTGTACGGTGAGCCCAAAGTGTCCGGCTACAATTGCAAAGCCACCGGCACGCGATTGGAACACTTTGTGCTCAAACTCAAAGGGTAAGAACGGTTGTCCGACCATTGCATAGTATTTTTGGACATTCTTCTTGGTCTGTGACTATGTCATCGGCAATGATAGGATAAAGCAAATTATAATTGCTTTTCGAACATTTGCCTCGGAGCTATTAATATGGCTTCCCTTGTGACCGTTTTTTAAAAAATAAATTAGAATTGATCTTGGGTTGTTGTAGGCCTCACATTGGTTTCCATTCTATTTAATCTTGTAAACATTTTAAATGCACCCGATTGGGCTCAAGGTTCTGCACAGTGTACTGTTCACAAATCAAGTTTAGTTGATAAAATCCCAGTCGAGTGAAAAAGTTCAAATTAACTTAACTTGTTAGCCCGTTAACGTCCACCCTTGCTGAAATAAGTGATAAAAGTGACCGATTATCCACACCTGTTGAACTAACTCTTGTTCCTAGTTACCTTTTCATTATCTAGTCGTATACAGGGTGATAAATTTAACGTAAATTTACTTCAAGTATTAAAAATATTTTTTTGACGATACTCAGTTTTGTATGATTGCTTACAAAGACCTCTCGGATCCTAATCGAATCCAAACCAGATAAAAAAAAATAGGGATAGCGAAACAAATGCATGGTGATTTACCAACTATAAACCAGTTAATTTCTACACTTTTAGAGTTTTTTTAAAAATATGTACTTTATACTTTTGCAGTTATAAGTTATCCCGAATATTTTGAAACGGT